AACATTTTAGGTACCTAATATAAACACCAAGAAAGCTTAAAAAATGTTTTATAGCACAACGGCCTATTGGCATTTGGCAATTCACAAAACTATCTAATAAACTTATTGTTATAGACAAAATACAGAATTGTATTTTTTTACAATTGGACTATTACTATTACTATTACTATTACCGCTATTTAAAATGTATTAATTATATGGCAGTTTAGACCCTACTTGATAATGAATTAATACTATATATATATAATAGGTATTAACTAATTAACACCATATTAGTAAAGTCTTAATTTCTTTAATGGTAACTAGTTGATTATGACAAACAATAAACATAATTTTGGCAATCTCAAATCTCAAACCAATCATATAAAAATTCACCGAGATAGATAAGAATATAATATACTATTTATCATGAACGAGATGAACTAAAATAATCACAGAACAATATTATCACAGATTATATGATCTGTGGTGTTAATTTTTGCCAGGAATCAGGATGCATATTATATCATTTATATTATATTTCATCTTATGTAGTTTTTGTTTTGCGCTATTCTTCGAGAATTTCGAATTTCGAATTTTTATCGAATCCAGATAAAGAATATTATGCTAAATARTGTATCAGTGTATGATCTAAGCCGGTCATTCTTATCTATTTCAATTTTCAGTAGGTTTATTTTTTAAGAGGACGCCATACCCGTATATTATGTTGTCTTCTTCTATCAAATGTAAAACATCGCAAAAACTATTTTGCGTGGGAAACTGGGAAAGGACCGAGAGGGCTGTATACAGAAACAATGCATAACTAAGAAACGAAATGTCTACCACATAAAAAGGAAAATTCTGGCTGTGAGATATCGTCTTTATTTTTTCGACATCGGAACTACAAAAAGACAAAAAGTTATTCATGTTTAAAAAACACAATAACAATGGATTTCGAAACAATAAGAACTTTTTTCGTAAAAAAAGATGTCGAAAAAACAAAAACGATATTTCACAGATAATGTCCTCAACTCTATCATATATCAATTTGGACTCCTTGGCATCACTACAGCCTATATAAGTAGTTCTATTCAGCACAAAACAGTTTTGGCCATGTTGTGCATTTGTTAGACGGAGACGACACAATATGCAGTTAAACATCCTCTTAAATGTAACAAAAATATTTCATTTTTGATAAACTGATAGRCCATAAAACATTTTGTGTTCTAGATTTTTGAAATGGAAAATAACTCGTTAATTTTTTTAAGTTTTTGAACCATGTGTTCTAAAAACCTGTAGAATCCTAGAGGCACGGAGTACAAGTGAAAAAAAAAAGATGTTTGGTAAAAAATATTTATGAAGACACACTTAAGAGGATATAGAATACAATATACAAAATCAAATATCAATAAAATATAATATCTATATTATGTCATTCCCTTAAAAACAATATTCTCTTTCTTTTTTGTGATTGGTGATTTTACTCTCAGATTACTTAAAARCATAGAAAGATTGATTCTAAATAAATGAGTTTTGTCTATGTTGATCATGGTCCAGGGAGAGAAAACATAATAAATAGTGCGCAGACATCCTTTTAAGGCAAAAATACATAAAATATATTTTAATATTTATTGTAAAAATTGAATTTACTATAGACAACTAACATAATCAATTTAAAAGAATATATAGTAATAAACAGTGTGTTTTGAATGTTTTGATATTAAATGTGAGTAATGTAGGTATATGCTTAGGTGTAACTAAGAGGGAATGATTCAGCACATACAACCTATAATTACCAACCATAGGCCCTTATTAAATAACACTACTATAATTACATACATACAACTGTTTTATAGTAAATTTTTAAGTACTAAATCTGCCAGTGAATCTGGTAAAGGTGTGTTCTTTTACATGCTGTAAACAGTGTAAACCAGTACACCGCAAAAACTAAATTGAATTTGAATGATAAAATATTTAGAACAGACACATTATACAATATCATTTAAATCTTTGCACTGAAATGTATATTTCAAATATAATATTATAAATCAATAATAAACTCAAGATATAAACCATTTTAAAAATTACAAAATATACTTAGTTAAATAAACTA